TGTGGTTTTTATGAGAAAATTGTTTCCATTTATTAATTATATGATTTGTTTGTAAAACAAGTATATTTTTGTGAACCAATTTTTATCAGTCAGTCATTTAAATGTAATACAAAAATACATATTTTATATGTTATCAGAGGTTTTCTACTGTGAAACCCATTATCTTTGATATCAAACGCAAACTTTACGAACAAAACACACAAAATAAGACTTTTCTCGGTCTTTAATCTATTGAAACAAAACTTTTTTGATTTGAGTGCAAAACTAGAGTTTTATTATTATTTGTATACAAAACTCGGAGAGAATATTATATATTTTATTTGTGTTTTATCATTATATAAGTTATAATAACACTTGTTATCAAAGATATTCAGATATTTATACATAACTTACTGTATATTCACGACTAATATCTCTCCCATAACTTGTGAACACAACTATTGACGGACTATTAGTCGCTGAATACTAACCTGTGTTTCAAAAACCAAATTATTGTGTGAAGTGATAGTCATATATAATCGGATTTCTTAAGCATAATGTCCGGTACGACCATCAGATCTACGGCGCCACACAAGTCTGTGATCGCGCGGTTAGACTCATCGCCGGTGCGCCGGAGGGTTATGCAGCCCACGCCTCTGGTCTATGCGATGGCCGCTCGCCAGACGTCCCAAGAGGACGAGGAGCAACGGTCGATCACCAGCACCACCATCACCACCGCCAGTACGGCCACGACGGCTAACTATAGGCCAACACCGGGCGTCCGGTCGCCCACTAAGTCATACCATTCCTCCACGCATTCCAGCGCTAAGTCCAGTCCGGAGTCCGATCGCAACAAACACGAGATAAAGAGACAGTTGTCGACGGAATACAAGAAGTTAATGACCGATAATAATAGCAATAGCAGTGGTGGCGATGGGGGTAGGGGTCGGCACCGGTCCCCCTCCGCACGCAACGCCGTTAATGGGAACCGTAGGGGCAATACAACCAATAGTGGAACCAATAGTACAAGACATAAGTCAAGTGATAGAAATAGTAATACAGAATCCATGAATCAAATGAATGGTGAGATTAAAGTCGTGAGTGATATGTCGTCGATGACCAGCACTTCATCGACGGTTACGACAACACAACCCAAGCAACTGATGGCCGCCGAAGAGAAACAGTGCAATAGATTTGGATTTTTTATTGACTCCAATAAGACAGAGGTTTTGCCGTAAGTTTGCATTTAATTACACACTACTGTAGTCGCTTATAGTAGTGAACGCCAGGTGCCCGATTACTAATGTCTTAAACTGTCATAATTTGATTGTAAAGTTTTGTTTAAATTCAGTATTTACTAGGATTTTAGTGTGAAAAAGTTTATTATTAATTTGATTTTGATTAGAGTTAGTTTTTATTTTTATATTGAACAAATAACTTTTTGCTAAATAAGTTTTTAATATAAAAATGGTTGAATAATTTAAACACAGTTATAATTACGATACATAGCTTAGAGTTTGATGCAATGATTGCCTCATTCTTGAGACATCTGGTATAGAGAGCGCCGGCTGTTTATTTGACTAAACTATAATTACGGTTATTAGTGATTAATAAATGCTAATTATTATGTGATTTGTTTAGTGAACTCAAGAGACAGGAAATCCATTTGATCCGCAAACGAGAGAAGAAATGGATCCAAATGTTAGACAAATGGGATAAATATATAAACAATCGCTGGAAGACT